GGGGTGCTGGAAGTGCAGGAGCTGGGGAATTTTTAATCCTAATGCGTGTTGCTAAATATTACATCTGTATAGGTGGTGGGGGTCTGTGTAAGAGCCAAGGGAGAGCAGCCGGTGGGGAGAAGGGGTCAGCTCCTGAGCATGATCCTGTCCTTGCTGGGCTGTCTCCGCCACGCTCTGGGTGTGTGAGGTGCAGTTGAAGTGAAGAGTAACTAGCAAGTAACTAGTGCTGTTAAGCCACCGTGCTCTCTGCTTACAGCTGCCGTCGCTGTTCCTTTAAACGCAGCAGCCTGGACTGAGCTTCAGCGTGGAGGTACGGGTCTGAGGGGCTGGTCAGTCATACGCCAGGAAAGCCGGTCCCCTGGTCAAGTAGGGAACGGAGTAATTAAAATATTAATTATTAATACAGCTATCAAAGCCTTTTTCTTTTTTTCCTCCCCCCTTTGCAGCGCGCAGATGTCTTCAGGACATTCGGTGGCAGTAATGGGCATTGACTTCACCCTCCGGTACTTCTACAAAGTTCTGATGGACCTGCTGCCCGTTTGTAACCAGGATGGAGGAAACAAAATAAGGTAAGCCTCTCCTTCCACCCAACATATATCTAAAGCCTTTTTTTTTCTCCGCTTTAACCAGATGACCCAGAGGTACTTTCCAACTTACCTTACTCTAGGATTCTGTTGCTTTCAACGTGTGTTCTCTCATTTCCACTGAAATGTGTGCTTGTTCTTCTCGTAAAGATTATGTGAACTTTTCTGTTGTTCAAGACCAAACTGCCATCAGCAAGTAAACAGTCTGCAAGAATACAAAACCAGAAGATGACTATTTTTTTTTTTGTTATATTTAGACTTCACTGAAATCCTGGGCAAAAAACCATTCTGTATTAAATGAACACACATCCCGTTCGCTTCTGTGTGTTTTCATTTTACCTATTCAGTTACTGTGAGCATGTAATAACGATGTATAATCTCCAGTTATTTAACTACGATTATTAAAATATATCTTTTGCTATATTTTTCTTGGAAATACATAACACAGCACTAGTCAGAAGTAGTCTGATTTCAGCCGGAGTACCTCACTTTATTTTGACCTATGTGTCTCTTAACCGAGTTTTGAAAAACCACGTGGCGGGGGTAGACTCTAGTTTTGATCTGGAGTAACTGGATAGCATGGTTTGGGCACTGTTGTTTCTTTGTTTTTAAGGCTTAAACTTGGGAAGGGAAGTGGTTTTCTGTCATCTTCCCAGTTCTTTTCTGGTTTGGTTTGGGTATTTTTTTGTATATTTAACGGTGTATAAAAAGAAAATTAAAAATCAGGATTTCTGGTTTGGCATTCTTTCCCCCCTGGTTAAATCAATGGGGTCAGATGCTTTATTCTGTTTTGACATTCCCTAAGTGAGGAATTTCAAGCATATTGTTCCATGCTTTCTTAGACCATTCTAACATAAAGGGCGGATCTAATGCTTACAGCCTCCACATAAATGCGCGCAGGTACTAAGAGACAACTATTCCGACTATGTGGCAGGCCGGTGGGTTTTTTAACGTATCTCTGCCGGGCTTTTTCTCTCTGCAGTCATTCTGGGGTCATCACAAGCCTACTCATTCTCCTGATCCCTATAGCATCTTTCAGAAAAAAAGAGAAAATGCAACATCGCATCATGAATTTCTAATGCAAAACCCAAACAGTTTGGGGCAGTAAAAAAAAAATATCTATCTAAATTTCGTGACTCCTTTGTATAGCAAAAGTACACAGTCCCATCTGTTCCGCGCTGATTGCTGTGAATTATATCTGCTCTCTCCCTCCGTGAGCCAGTGGAGGCAGATCTTTACGTTGCAGACTGCCATGGGAATCGCAGACTTTAAAGCC